AAAAAATTCAGTTTTGTTTGACATTTGGTAAAAAAAAAAAAAAAGGTTTGCAAGCTTCAGTAGCCCCGTGTTCACGTGGTCTGCAATGTGACTCTGCTGTGAACAGGAAGGCCGTCCCTGCTGAGCCTGGCCTAGCCGGGGCACCGCACAGTGGACGGCCATCGTGCGTGCAGTGCCTGGCCTGGTGCAGTGGGCGGCCATCGCGCGTGCAGTGCCTGGCCAGGCTGGGACACAGTACAGTGGACGGCCATCGCGCGTGCAGTGTCCCGGCCAGGCTGGGACACAGCGCAGTGGACAGCCATCATGCATGCAATGCCCTGCGCTGCACTAAGCTCTCTACATGCGGTCCCCTCCGTCGATGTCTCTTGGAGTCACAGTCTAGCCTCAATTAGAGGAGCGGAGCTAAACACAGGTATGAACTACAGAACGGGCTAGACGAGAGGGCTGCTCTGTGGGACAGGGACTGTGTGTTAACCCAGGATGGAGTGACCGACCCGCAGCATGGACAGACGCTCCTTCCTCAGGGTGCAAATCTGGCCCTCTCATCCCTGAGGCTTCTCCTAGGATGTGCTGGACTCTGGTGTGGCAGCACTGGGAGAACCAAGACAGCGGGGCTGTCCCAAGGCAGGGTGCGGTGACCACCAGCCACGCACGCCGCCTCCTTACCTTGCAGGATGACCGAGCGGCGCCTGCTCTCCAGCACGCACACGAGTTCTGCCGAGTGTCTGAGGAATGCCCTGGAGGGAGAGGGGAAAGTGAGCCCTCCACTTCCACACGTTAAAGTTCCTGACGGCAGGAGGTCTAAGCTCTCACCATACACATTCATACCACACGTTAAAGTTCCTGACGGCAGGAGGTCTAAGCTCTCACCATACACATTCATACCTTTTTTTTGAGAGATTTTTGCTACAGGGCGTGTACATTCACCAGAGAGACAGAGAGAGAGAAAGCCAGAAATCACCCCCCAGAGGGGACTGCGACTTCTCCATTCTCCTCTCAGGATCTTGGGCATGCATGCACACACAGCCGGTGTGAGCTTAAGCCACCAGGACCAGGACTCGAACCACAGCCAACTACGTGGGAGTCCGGTGATGTAGCCATTACACTGTCTGCCGGTGGCGTGCATGCTCACATTCTGAGCCTTGATGAATTCCGTCTGTTTATGATTCTCCAGTGCAGTCTGTGACCTCCTACCAGGGAGATCCAGCGGCCCCTCCTGGAGGGACACAGGCTGATCCGTGCAGTGTGAGCGAAGTGCTACCAGCCTCACGGCACTGCGGCAGTCCTGCACATGCTGCACACACACGTGTACATGCACGCTCTGCTCTGGCACGCCGCCGGCTGCACCGCCATGGAAGTGAGAAGCTGCAGGAGAGCTGTGCATACCTGACGTACTCTAGCCACCGCGTGTCCTCCAAGGACGACAGCCACTTCTCCTCCGTCTCCTCGAAGGGTTCTGCAATACAAACGGTGCCACACATATGTGTGTCTCTAGGCTTTTGCTTTTACAGAGAGATCTTTTGCTACAGGGTGTGCACGCTTGCTGGAGAGACAGAGGGAAAGTGAGAAATCACCCCTCAGGGGGTGGCCACATTGCAGTCCCTCCTCCTTCAGTCTCCTCTCAGGATCTGAGACTTGAACCGCAGTGGGCCACGTGGGAATCCAGCGACATTACTACTATGCCATCTGCTGGTCCCACACGTGGAGACTTCTAAGCTTGGTTATACAGCTCCACGTCAGAGTTAGGAGGTACGCTGTCGTTCTAGTACACAGAGGCTGCCTTCACCATGTGCCGTGTCCTCTTCTTAGTAACAAGATTTCCAAGGAGCTCTGCACCATCCTGTCACAGAGCAAATGGCGCAGTCCCCAGGCACCCAGCCTCTCTGGCCCACACCTGCTCCATGCTGGGCCAGCCCTGCATGCTGCTCACAGTGCCCTGCCCTGCCCGGCCCACCGCGGCTTCCTCCCTGCAGGCTCCCCTACCAGCTCCTCCCCATCTCCTGGCTGCCCTCGTAGCCCCTGCACACGTGGCTCAGGAAGCCCTGATGACTGACTGCTGCAGTCAGCCTGCCCAGAGCAGAGGGCCACACGAGGCATATGTTCCTGCAGACACCCTGCCCTGGCAAGTGCTTCTCCAGCAACGGCCCACCTGCCACTCAAGACTTGCTTAAGGCTGCGTCTCCCAACCCCGTGACCTAGGGCTGCTTCCGGGGGACCGCGTCAGGTGCCTTCCTACGACAGCTCCCCAGCTCATGGCAGCCACCTGAGGAGCATGGCACAAGGACACGCGTGAGGGCCGAGGTCGCAGACACAGCCGGGTCTGGGCTGCCGCGGACACGGCGTGTGCAGCAGTCAGAGTAATCCGAATGCAGTTCTTCCCACGCCTTTCACGAAGGCAACCGAGGAGGTTCATTTTCTCCTCCCAAACAAGAAGCAGCTCGAACTTTATTTCCTAGGAGGGTCTGCCATTCTACCACAACTGCAATCTGATAAAGTATTTCAAGTCTCTTCTACATCCAGTTCTATGAGGTTTTATTGTTTTGGAAAGGTTTTATTTAACTTTCCTTATTTCCTTATTTATTTATTTAAATTTGACCAGAGAGGGACAGAGTGAGAGAGAGAGAAAGGGGAAGTGAGAAAGCCAGCCGCCAGGTCTGGTACCCGAACTGCGGTCGGCCATGTGGGAGTCCAGCACCTTAACCACCATGCCACACGCCGGCCCCATTTCTGTGTTGTTAAGAAGCATCACTCTGGGCCAGCAAATGGCGTTGCGGTTATGTCACTGGACTCCCACATGACCGTGGTTTGAGTCCCAGATCTGGTGGCTTGAAAATCACCCGGAGTGTGCACACGCATGTGCGTGCCCCAAGATCCAGGGAGAGTGGGGAAGGGGTTGTGGCGTGGCCATCCTCCCAAGGAGTGATTTGTCACTTTCCCGCTCATGTTTCTGTTTTTCTCTCCAGGAAGTGCATGTGTCCCAAGGCAAAGCCTCTTTACACACAAAAGCACCACACTTCCTGACAGACCGGTGGGACCTCACTCCTGCTCACTAGACAGCACGCGTGCAAGCGTGCACATGGCATTACCGTCAACACACAGCTGCTTCAGTCTCACAAAGGCCGCCTGGATCTCCTGAAGGGTAGGCAAGGCCTTGTCCAGGTCAGATCTGTACACGTCGCTCCTCTGTGGGTGGCTCTTGGTCACCGCGTTGCAGATCCTAGTGGGGATAAAACCCGCTGGGCTCTGAAGGGCCCTGGCCCTCAGCACTCCTGTGGGCTGGGCCCTGCCCTCCTGCGCTTACACCCAGGGCGGTGGGGATGGTGCCAGGAGGACAGGCTGGGGCACGTACGGCGACCACAGGGCCCCTGCTCCGAGGCTCCTGTGTGCAATGCCCTGAGGCCGACGCCTCAAGGCCGAGCATGAAGCTCTGGGAGTGCGCTAGCAGAGGGTTGGCTAGTGCAAAGGCCCTGGGGTAGGACACAAGCCTGCCTGGGGGAGAAAACAGGGAAGGCCAGTGGGTAGGGACGTGCCGAGGGAGAAGGCGGGTAAGGAGAGCCTGTGCTCAGGAGAGGCGTTAAGGGGTGCCTAGCACAGCAGTGCAGGACTGCAACAGCCACTGGCTACAGGTGTGACCGCCAGCTCACACAGCGGTGCCACAGCCTCGACAGCCTGCAGCACCTCCCGTCGTGATGTGAGCCCGGGTCGGCGCTAGTTTCTAGTGCACAGAGGCTGCCCTATCACCTTGTGGGACTAGGGAGGACGGGGCTGGGAGAGGGCGGGTGTGAGCACAGGAGGACGGGGCGGGGAGAGTGGGAGAGGGCGGGTGTGAGCACAGGAGGACGGGGCTGGGAGAGTGGGAGAGGGCGGGTGTGAGCACAGGAGGACGGGGCTGGGAGAGTGGGAGAGGGCGGGCGTGAGCACAGGAGGACAGGGCTGGGAGAGTGGGAGAGGGCGGGTGTGAGCACAGGGGGACGGGGCTGAGAGAATGGGAGAGGGCGGGCGTGAGCACAGGAGGACGGGGCTGGGAGAGTGGGAGAGGGCGGGCGTGAGCACAGGGGGACGAGGCACTCCAGTCCAGAACAGGCAGCAGCCAGGGCTGGCACTGGGAGGGGAGGGACTGGCTGCTTGCTGTGTGGACGCCCGAGGGGCCTCCTTCTGCAGGAGAGCATAGTGGCTGGGGCTGTGGGCGAGGGGGGTGGGGGG